CCCCCCCCCCAAACTCTGGACAGTTTCTCAACTTAAACCCTTGCAGATGGCAGATCAGTATCCTAGGCAGGGTGTGAGATTGAGAAACTGCAGCACTAGGTAGGAGGGGCCAGAACAGGTTCTGAGATGTCAGAGAAAATGCATAGTGACGATAGGCTTTCTTCACTATTCAAACAGACTTTTGGGAACTTTGTGTTAGAAAAGATCTACTTCCTATAGGAAAGAGGCAGATCTGCATAATTTTGTGAGACCCAGGTATTTTTATCTTATCTAATATTGAACAGTGTAGTGAAATTCATTTTACTTTTGGTTCTCATTTATAATACATATATACATGTCCTAATAATTATTTTATTATATGGCAAGGCTCTTGAATTTACTGTAGTTATCTATACACCAGTTTTTTTTATAGTCATTTATTTACTTAAATAATCCATAGCCTTTTCCTTTGGATTTTGTAAATGTTGCTCATATTTAAAGCAAATAATTTCTATTCCTTTTTACTATTCCTAACGTTTATTTCTGTGTGCTTATTCTCGGGTTACGCATTCTGATCCGGTTTTGAACAGTTAGAGTTGGTAGCATACTGCTATGTGCTGTTCCTTACATTTATGGGAATGCTACAGACATTTCACATTTAAGTTTGTTTCCTATAGATGTGAGGAAATGGAAGTTCTCTTCTAATGTTAGTCTGCCAAATCATGCATTCACATTGAATTTTTTTCAGAAGTTTTTTCTGTACTTCGTAACATGATCAAATGCTCTTTTAAATATTATCTGTTAATGTAATATTTTAGGCAGTTTTTTCTAATGTTATAGCATCGTTACATTTCTTGGAGTCAGCCTCTCTTTTTTTTTTCCTTCTCATTCACTGCTATATTGAAACTTATATGAATTTATGTAGGATCTTTGCTTGTAGGTGAGTGAGCTTGGCTCAAGTGTTCTGTTTTCAAAGTGTCCTCAGCTGGTTTTCTTATCAAGGAGAGCTAGCCTAGGAAAATAAGTTGGAAAATTCCCCATTTTGGGTTGCTTTGGATGTGCTTACATGAAATGGCAATTAATTATTTGCTTGTTACTTGGTAGAACTGGTCCCTGACTGCCCTTGTCCTGAAACATTTGAATGTGACTGAAGCTTTGAGGATGGTTTACGTTTGTATTTCTCAGTAACAGTTTTCTATTCTGTTTGAACCTCTTGAGTAATTAATACTTTTTCTGAATAATATTCTATTATCATTTGGAGTTTGAAATTTAGTGGCTACATATATATTCTATTTGTTGAAGAAATTTTCATCCATACACCGCAGTAAAGAGAATAGCGTAGTAAAACCGATAGACCTGACGTCAGAATCAACAATCATCAATACATGACCTACCTGTTTACATTTATACCCATATCTACCCCCATTTCTGCCACTGAAGTAATGAGAAACAAATCCTAGATATCATGCCATTTCATCTTTAAATATTTAAGTATCTATTTCTAAAACACAAGTTTCCTTTGTGAAACAAATGTTCAATACTTAAAAAATTAATATACTCAAATATCCAGTTATTTTTCAAATTTACCTGACTGACATCCTTTTAATGTTTTTCTTTAATTTGGGTCAAATAAAGTCTATTCATTGTCCTTGCTTTTTATGCCCATTAATTTATAGATCCTACACCCTCCCACATATATACATTACCTGATTTCCGTGTCATTCTTTGTTGAAAAAAATAACCTCATGTTTTTTCCAGTTCCACATGACATGGATTTTTTTCTGATTGCAACACTGGTGTCCTTCTCCTTCTGTATTTCTTTAAATCACTAGAAGATTCACCAGATTAAGTGTAACTTTTTACTGTCTCCTTTTTGTTGTTTGGAAAGACATTCATGGTGATATTGTGAATTTTTATTGCAAGGAACCTAATGTTTGTCTCCCTTTGTGTTGATGTTTAAAATCTTTTAAGATTAACATATTTATCCATTAATTAATTAAGGGTTACACGATGTTAATTTTGTATTTCTATCTTTTTTTCTGAGTTTATTAGTTGAAATAAATTTTTATGCAAAAACCTATCCTTGCGCACCATTTAGTAATGATATTTATAATGTTCTCTTATAATATTTAAATTCCTTTTGCACCCATATTTTGTACATTATTTAACTAATATCGCTTACTTCTGTTTCTTTTGTTAAGTGATGATACTTATAAAACTGTCAGTTATATCAGTCTTTTCAAAGAACAGTCTTTTGTTTGTTGGCTGTATTGTCTTCTAATTCATCATTTTCTGCACTTTATTATTTCCTACATTCTATTTCCTTAGTATTTCTCTAGTTTCTTGAAATTTTTGCATGTTATAAATATTTTCATTTTTTGTCTACTGAGATTTTAATTTCAATAACTATATTGTTATTTCTAGATATTATTTTAGTTCTTTTTCAAATTAGCCTCTTCTTTTTTTTCCAATTTGTTGTTCTTATGATCTCTGTAATTCTTTTTTCTCTTTAATGGACTTTATTTTTTACTGAGATATAATTGACATACAACATTATATTAGTTTTAGGTGTACAACATAATGGTTCCATAGTTGTATATATTGTGAAATGATCACCACAGTAAGTCTAGTTAACATCCATCACTACCCCTAGTTACAGTTTTTTTCTTGTGATGAGAACTCTTAAGATCTATCCTCTTAGGGGGTGCCTGGGTGGCTCAGCTGGTTAAGGTCTGACTCTTGATTTCGGCTCAGGTCATTATCTGATGCTGGTGAGATCGAGCCCTACATCAGGCTCAGCACTGATGGTGTGGTGCCTGCTTGGGATTCTCTTTCTCCTCTCTCTCTGCCCCTCCTCTCTCTCTCTCTCAAAATAAATAAATAAAGTTTTAAAAAAATTTAAAAAAATCTATCCTCTTAGCAACTTTCAAATACACAGTACAGTATTATTAACTATAGTCACCATGCTATATGTTACATCCTCAAGACTTACTTATTTTATAACTAGAGATTTGTACCTTTTGACCACCTTCACCCATTTCACTCACCCTCCACCCTGGCTTCTGGCAACCACTAGTCAGTTCTCTGTATCTATGAGCTCTTTATTTTTTTTTTTTTTTTTAGATTCCACATATAAATGAGAGCATACAGTATTTGTCTTTCTCTGACTTATTTCACTTAGTGTAATGTCCTCAAGGTTCATCTATGTTGTTGCAAATAACAAGATTTTATTCATTTTTTTTGGCTGAATAATATTCTACTGTGAATGTGTATATGCATATTTGTGTGTGAGATATGTGTGTGTGTATGTCACATCTTTGTCCCTTCATCCACGAAAGGACACTTAGGTTGTTTCCATATGTTGGCTATTGTAAATGATGTTGCAGTGAACATAGGGCATATATTTGTTTGAGTTATTGTTTTCATGTTCTTCCAATAAATACCCCGAAGTGGAATTGCTGGACCATATGGTAGTTCTATTTTGAATTTTTCCAGTAACCTCCATACTGTTTTCCATAGTGGCTGCACTATTTTCTTAATAAATCTACTTAAGACTATAAATATCCTTGTGAGTACCCTTGGGCTGTTTCCCACAAGTAATTCTATAGAGTTTTATGTGTAGTGCTGGAATTTTTTACAAGCTGAATGAATAGCTTCTATATTCCTTATCTTAGAATTTTTTGAATACACACACAAAAAAAATACTAGTAAGTGCAGAAAATTATTTTTGATAAGGATGTGAAGAAGAGGAGAGAAACAGAATTATTTAGAGGAAGTATCAGAGTCCCAGGGGTGTTTTTGTTTTTGTTTTTTGTTTGTTTGTTTGTTTTGGTTATATGTGACATAAGGGACTTGAATGCATTTAATTGCTTGTGACTGAGTTGAGTTTTTTCTAGGAATGAAAAGAGGGATCCACAGCTAGAAAATCAAAACAATATAATTAGCTAAGTGCAACTGTCAGAGATTATTCAGGAAAACAGAAATTACTCTAATTCTATAACTCAGACAGAATTTAATGGAAATTACTGGTTATTCACATGATGGAGAACCAAACCAAGTAGAGTCAGGCAAACCAATACTTAGCAACTTGAGGAAGTCACTCTCATCTCTAGTGTAGAGGGACAAAGAGAAGAAAGAGATAATGTTACTAGAGATTGGTAATTGGAGTCAACAGAATCTAAAACCACAGTTAACCAATATGATGGGAGCTAGAGCCATGGGGAAGAAATAGCCATTGAAGGAGAAGCCACCCGATGCAGAGGCAGAAGGAGAAAAACCATGGCTGTTCCTGCCCTCCTGGGTGATAATCTGCTGGTGTCCTTATTGCCCGAACTATGAGAGCAGCCAAATATTGGAGAACCTAGGAATTGGAGCCTGCAGGAGTTATCTCCTGAACACTAGAAAGCGGAGGAAGGAAAGAGTAAAGAATGAATATGAGGAAAAAATTAAGTACAGGACAAATATACCACATTGACAAATTAAATGTGAAAAATATCCAAGATGGTATGTATCTGCTCTATAAAAATCAGTATTAATCCATGATAAAACAAGAGATGTTATCAAAGTAGATAATGGCTAGCCACAAAACAAACAATCCCTATATCAAGCACCATATTTAGTGGAGAAAGAATGGAAATTGGGAATTAGATAAGAATAGCTGCTATCACTATTTTTATTCCACATTGTAA